TTCTAACTTTGAACATCTGCACAAGACATGTTATTTAAATAAAGGCGGAAATACTGCTCAGTGACCACAGCCACCCACTAACATCGGAATTTCAAGTTTCGGCCCGCAGTAAACGACATACATTCCTCAAAAGCAAGAACAGATATGGAAATCCATTCGTACCAACTGCAGTGGCGTAGCTGAACACACAGTGCTACAAATGAAACAGAGAAAGAGAGAGAGAGAGAGAGAGAGAGAGAGAGAGAGAGAGAGAAAGTTTTATGGATCGAGTTGTTTCAGCTCGAAAAACACGTATTTAGTAATGTCCTGTCTTGCTGTGTGTGTGCGTGAGTTCACCTAACCTTTGTAACATTCCACTGCCATTGTAAACGACCAAGACAAAATTAATTTCTCCCTCTGAAATGAATTCAATAAAGATCGTCATTGTCAAAAAGAAACTTCAACAAAAAAACCCATCATATTCAGCACCAAACATTGGTACAACTCCAAACCTATACATCTACATAATGTATATAGTATAATATAGACATTAACACTCCACTGGGTTTTAATACATGTTTGAACCACAGTACACTAAAGAATTTAACTCGTTCTATACCATGAAAATCTAATGTTAGACATGCCCTCCATCGTCAAACTCCGAAGGATCTAATTAGATGCACTTTACATGCTGATTCAGCAGCACAATTCCGTCCAAATGACGAGGGGGAAATTGTCTGGAGAATAGGTTAATTTATTTGTTTTAACCCCTCCTTCCGGGGAATTACAATGGCCAAGGCTAGTTTCAATAAAAATGAGCCCAATCCTGAAAAATAGAAACAACTCAATGAACACCAAAATGAAAGTTCTGAAATGCTTTGTTTGGCTAACCCTTCTATATTATATGACTGTGAATGCTGGACAATCAATGAAGACAGTGAAAATAAGATAGAAGCAACAAAAATGTGGTTTCTTAGGAGACTGCTAAGAGCATCGTGGAAGGAAAAGAAATAAAGTGAGGTACGTGGGACGCTCACTATTAAAAACAATCAATCAGGAAACGACAAATGCAGTTTTGGAGACACCTGAATAGACATAAGGGTCTTGAACATCTAGCTCTCACTGGCAAAATTGAGGGTAAGCGAGGCAGGGGTAGGCCCAGAACAACATACTTAGGGAACCTAAACAAATGGGTAACAGGGAAACATCAGGGAAACGTAGCATTTTTAGAGCATTCGAGCAAAGGAATGAATGGAGAACCCTGATCGCCGATGTCTGTCTCAGATCTGGCACTGGATGATGAACCCCTCCTCCCCACCTGGAAAAAAAAATCGACACAATTTAGATCATTAGAATAGATGGGCAGCTTCGACCCTGCCTGTCAGCAAAGATTCTCTCTTAGTCTTAGAGAATCTTTGCTGTCAGGGCCCCCGGACTAAGAGGTATACCACGTCCTTATGCACTCCTGTCTTCTGCGCACGATTCTCGCATGGAGAGTTTTGGGGAGAGAGGTATGTGTTGTTTTGTTTGTTCGTTTATTATTTGTTTGCAGTTGTTGTTGTTTTGTTGTTGTTGTTGTTTTTTTTGTGTGTGTTGTTGTTTTTTTGGTTGTTTTTTTTTGGGGGGGGGGTTCAGTGGAGTGTTTCTATCTGTCTACAGGGACGTTGTACTCTTCCCAGCACGGTTTGGCCCTGACAGTGACAGACAGGGTCGACACAGCCCGTCTTCTGAACGATAGACGAACATGTGTAGATCAAGATGGGCTCGTAAAACAGCTACAATCAAATATTGAGTAGCCACCGACTAAAACTAGTCAGAAGGCATGTATTTTGCTGGTACATGAAAGACCATGAACCGAATAAATGATAACATCTTGAACTCACATTATCATACTAGAACAGGCTGTCTTCAGACGAAACATCGAAGCAGAAAAAAGGATCCGCATTTTGCCGTGAGAATCATACAATTTGATTTATTTAATTCTGTATAATTATGAAGACCGCCCGAGTGAGGGTTGCGATTCGATAAGGCCACATAAAACACCCAAGCTTCTCTCTACACGTTCGACTAACGTGTGATAAAAAAGCAAGTGCTGGGGGGAGGGAAAGAGACAAACAGACAGATTAAAACCTTTATATTATATTTTGGTCTCTCAATACCGATAGCGTTTCTTTTATAAGCGTTTTCTTTAAACTTTAATTTAAAGCCTAAGTGAAAAGTAAAGTTTGTTTGTTGTTTTTATTTGTTTGTTTGTTTGTTTTTGTTTGCGTGTTGTTGTTTTGTATTTTGTT